TTCGTATTAGTAATATTTCTAAAAACAGCATGATCTTCATGACCAATAAAAATATTCGCACAATCAAATAAATATATCGATATACATTTTTAAAAAATCTTTACAATTATATCCTCTCTTCCAACACTTTGTATTTTTTATTACAAACACAAAAAAAGTGAAACGAACTTTATTAAGATTCATAACTTGTTTACACTTTGTACATGTTTCATCGACCTTAAAACGCTTTTCTAACGACGACAATGATAACCAAAGAAAGATTTTCTGCGTTAGCATCGAACATTAATCATAAGGTAAGTTTCATACCCATGCTTACACCTAATGCGTTAATTATTCAGTGGTATTCTAGACATCCTTTGATTGATACCCATGTGTAATCAGGTTTTATTAGAATATATTCTCATGAACTTGTTTAGAACACATGCGTCACTGAATTACTTAGAGTTTCGGAGCATCTCTAATCAATAAAAAAACTTTCTCTTATTTTAGGTACACTTACCACACCATTGTAGTAATCGATTCTTTGACGGCGATGTCTTATATGGGATTATTTTCCATTATTTTCTACAGATCCGAAAGGTCTGACGAGAAAGAGAAAATTAGTTTTTCATACCATCATCCAACGGTTGACTTCTAGGATGAATTCTTAAGAGGTAGGGTTAAAATTGCATTTTAGACGCAGTTATTCATTGAAGCTTTACATATAGGGTTTCTTGGTTATGAGGTAGTATGCGCGATCTTTTTTATAGGATAACGATAGGATCGTTCAGTCTTATGGAACATATCACCATTACCATTATCATCGTCACCTAGTGATGTATTAGGAAGGGATATTTGACCTTGGCTCAAATGTTATTATAAATTTCATTTTTGTCTTTTTTTTTTTTAATGTTATCTTACTAATTCTTATTAATTTATAGATTTCCAAGACAATTTATTAAATAATATTCTATTAGGAATAGCTTGTTATGCTATATTTAGTATAGTTATTTTAACAGTGATCATTGATGTCAACAAGTAAGTGAAGAAATAATGTATTTTATCTTTTTTTCGTGGAAGTGTTTCGTGGTGTAGTGTAGTAGCTTAAGTACATTTCGACCACAAAGGTCTACTGTTTCTTTACAAGGATTCAGTTATGACATTGCTTTATTGCAAAACCTAAATGATGATCTGCGAGCCTCTTGAAAACGAGGTTTCACTTTTAGTTATCACCTTTGTAACTGAAGTAGATCTTGAGTTTCTACACTAATGCGTCTCATTTCACACATATTTTTTTACCTTTACCTCTATGCATGTCTATGTATTTTTATGCACATATATTTTACTACTTTTTTCATCTCCATTACCTACCTTTTCAAACATATTTCTTACTCTTACATTTATCATTTCAAAAATAGAGTACGACGATGGCGATATTTTAAGACAAGATTTACTAGACTTCCATTCTGAAGAAAGAAGTTTGGTCCTGATTGACAACATGTTTTAAAATCATTACAAACGGTGTTTATAAATTGGCAGAGATATTGACGTGCTTACTAGGAATTCTTCGTCATGATGAAGTTTTATGATCGGGTATCCCAGAAATCTAAGGAACCAGCCACCATGTTATTCACCACTTAAAGCTATTGTAGCCCTTTTATACATTATTCATTGGTATTTATTTTTCATTTTTAATTTTAAAAAAATGTATTGATATTTATGGATATAATTATCACTAATCCAATTCAATTATCTGCCGCATCTTTACCTTTAAATAATTAATAACTACATATCAAATTTGGTATACAGAAAGGCCAGGTGATGTGAAAATGGAAATTTAATTACTATAATTATATTCTCTTATTATTGAACTTCACAAGTAATTCAAACTTGGATACATGTTACATCTTCTGGAGTTTTTGCTACATATTGCAGGAACATCTAGAGGAGTTTCTTCTTCTCCTACTTTAAAAAGTATAAACGTGCTTCAATTACAAGTTTTGGAAGTATTTGTTTAGAAAATTTTCTTGTTGTATTTTACAAGTTATTAGTGCACTTTTGAGAAGCGTAATACAAAATATTGATTCCAATTGAAGCTTTTTATGTCACTTGTACTGCAGTACTTGTCAGATTTATCGAATCATTATTGGTAAGAATATTTGAATTTCTAATTTTATTATCATTATTATTATTAAATTAATTACTTTCGTCATATTTTTAGCAATATTTAACTTTTATATCTATATGTGAGTTACAATCTACGGAAAGTCATTCTAAGAATCTGTAAGAATTCTTTAATATTTAAAGTTCTAACTACGATGATTTTTAATCAAAATAAAAATATAGGCAAAGGTGAAACAATACGATATTAATTCTTTTATTCTAAACCTTGTCTAATTTTGAAAAAAAACTTTTCCCCTCTCTCTTCAAAACCAAAAAAATGGAAAAAGAAAAAAACCAAAAATTTTCATAAAATAACAACCGCAACTTACGTACTCGCCAGACTCACTAACAAAAAATAAAGAGGAACCTCCATAAAAGAAAACCATGACTGGCAGGTCTCACCAAACTACTGAAACTCCAGCTGGACTGTCAAAAATCATAACCACTACCAATATTTTGTCAGCTGGTGACATGAGCATAGACCAACAAGTAGAAGATATCCTAGCTGAAGCCAAACAACCTTTCGCATATGGCAAAGGCCAGTAGTTCTCAGAATATCCTCAAAAAACTTCTATTACAAGCACTTTAACTATCCTGAAACTAAAGAATAGTGAAACAATGGCCTCTGGTGCTGATAATAAAATGGACGAAGACTAAGCTTTCGACGCTTCTGAAAATTTATTAAATACTAAAGATACTACCAGGAACACCATTACTTTTGAAAGTATCTGAGATGCAACTACTTTCTATATATACTGCGCTGTCAAAACCTTTCTTCCTAACAAATCCTTTAGAGAAAAGATCAATAAAGCCTGCGAATTTTCAATAGCGCAGCATTCCCATTGTTCATTAATACATCCATCAAACCTGACCTTGCAAATAAAACATTAAAAATAGTCTGTTTAGGCTTTACGACATAAGCTGACGCCAATCGTACTATAGCTGAAAAAATTCCTAACATGAATACTGTCACGTTTATACCTCTTGTTACACCTGCCCATTCAAATTTGACCTGAGTCTGTCGATCAAAGTCACAGAAATTCTGATCTCCATATCAGAGCAGATCATCCGATCAATGTTTGCCTGATTCAGCATGATCACCAAATACACAATGATGACGAAAAATCTTTAACAGCAGACGACTATTTCATATGCATTTAAAACAGACTTATCTTTTTTAACTCTCATGTTGGCCTTTTCATTTTGAAAGATATGGTCAGAGTATATGTATATTCCTTTACAAACGATGAAATCAAGGCACGTTCCCAATTTGCTTTGAAACTTATGAACCTTCCTAAGGAAATTACTGGTAGAGAACTGGAGCCTATCGGTAAAGCAATTAATGCAATCACGTAGGTGATTCCCAAAGCACGATCAAATTATAGAAAACTCCAATATGCCTTTATACACTTCAATAATAAAGAAGATCTCGACGCGACAAAAAATGGAGACCCTATTGAGTTTGATAATAGGAAACTCATCTGAACTGCATCGGGTACTAACCTATGCGCACATTATTCCATTTCTGAACATGACTCGCGAAATTGTAAACGCAAAAGATCAACTCCCAAAGACAGACAAACACAAAACCTTTGCTAACGCTATAAGCCTGCGTAATTTAAAAATTATTCTGCATCCGCGTTCCATCCTAAAGTCACGTTCGTACACAACCAGAAAATAATATTTGATCCTAAAAATCCCTGCTCGTTTGCAAACAGAATCAAGGATATCAAACCACCAGCTAAAACTCCTTTAACATATAACAAGGACCCCAAGATACCAAAGAATAAATCTTCTCTTGATGAATCAATTCAAACGCGAAAATCATGATCAGAACAAATAGATGAGGCAGACGTACCCTACCGATCACCTAAAACACCTACACACGAATTAACGGATACTCAAAAAATCTTAAATCAATTAGATGCTATCACGGCAACCCTTGCAACAATTCACAACGACCTTGCTTTTTCGATGCACCGTCTCGATGAAATAGAAAAGCACCTGAATATTTTCACAATCATACCAAAGAAAGCTGCTGAACACAATGAAGCAGCTAAAGCTAAAGGTGCCATGGACACAGACACTATCTATGAACCAGAAGTTGACACATCAGACTCTTGAGTTGTTGAACAAGAAAAGCATATCGCAATACTTCATGCAGAAACTGAAGTACTACGCAAACACAATAAAATCATGGTAGAGAAACTTAATATCACTTTCAAAGCCGTTGCCAACATCTAATATATGGTTCTAGACGATACACACCCTACACACATAATTCCAATCCCCAAACTCAACATGCCTGGTGCAGTCGATACTTCAGAAGATGGTACAGAGGTTCCCACCCAGAACTCTTCTTTAAATAATTATGATATCACAACCATCAAATAAAAATACGGTGCCCTCACATTCAATATCGCCACCCATAACACTCGTTCTTTTACTTTACCACACAAACAACAAATCCTCTTTAATCTATACGTTCTTTATAATTTAGATATTATCGTCTTACAAAAAACAAATTTTAAGAATTCATCTCATTTACATTCCTTAAAGCCCATTTGTTCAAATAAATTTATTCTCTTTTTTAACATCAACTCCTTCGCCTAAGATATGGGGTTCAGAGTTAGCTTTCTCATTAAAAAACATCTAGCCAACCACATTTTTCACCATTCCTCCTTCTTTCATCGCATCTATTCGATAGATTTCCAATTTAAAAACAAACACAATCTCCATATTATCAATGTTTATATTTCCAGTTTAGATAAAACATTACGAGACAAAACTTACAAAAAAGCTTTAGACCTAATAAACGATGCATACCAAAAGGATTTCCTTACAATAATCCTTAAAGATTTTAACGCAGATCTATCACAGACCTCAAATCCTTCGAATTCAAAAGCTTTCTTCACCTTGCTTAATAATCTCCACATGGTTAACAATTTAGACTTCGTCAAGAATCAAAAATCAAATGATGATCTCATTACCTATGAAACTAGTACAGGACGTTTTACAATAGACCACATTTTCATGCACTCCTTATTAATCCTAGACCTTATCGATCAAGTAGTAGAAAAAGTTGACAACGACTTGTCAGATCATGCTGTCATACATGCAACTATTTCATTAGCCTCTATCAATCCATCTTTCACTTAACGAGTAACAATAAAAAAGCTAGTCTATCGATATGACGAGATATCTGATAATGACTGGTCTGCCTTTAAAATCTCATTCAATCAACAATATAAAAACACAAGACTTAATAATATGTCGTTAAATAGCATACACACAATACATTATTTGAACTACTATTAGGATCTCCTACAGAAATCAATTATTGACGCTGCCACTAAAACAATCCCTAACAAACATACCTCACATCACAACCAAGATCTTAGACCGCGTATTCTCAAATTGATTTACAAACGTATCAAGATGGTTCAGAAACTTTGTAAATCAAGTAGCAAATGCATAACGAATAATATTATCGATTCCAAATGGTCTACCTGGTGTAAAAAGATACAAACTTTCTCAACAGAATATACTATAACAATTCCTGATATTAATCAACCTTCAATACCTGAGATTAAAACCCATCCCCTGTTAGTCGATCTTTGAAAAGTTCTATCTACAGCAGCGAAATTAAATGAAGCTGAACTTAAAACTAAAGCCATCAATGAAGCTATCGAAAGACATTATACTAACTTTGTGGATGACCAAAAAGTCATATTCGACTCGTTATTAGATCATTTTTACACTACTATTATAATGGACAGATGCATAAATAACAACAGCCTTGACAAAAAACTTCTTACAAATCCTAAGGATGTTCAAAATAAAACGGCAAGACATTTTCAAAAAGTGGTTGATTCACAATATTCTAACCCATCTCTCCCAGAGGTTTGGGAACAAGTTTATATGCCAAATGAATTGATAGATCCCAATATATATAACTCCATTATGCAATCCCCTTCAGAAGAAGAATGGCATACTACCATTAGAGCGCTTCCTGATGGAAAAGCTTCTGGACTATCTAAGATTTCCAACGAAATGTTAAAACATCTTGAATCAAAATATTTCTGGATTATCATTTGCAGATGTTTGTCACTCAATTTAGCACCTAGTAGATGGAATCTAGCTTTTGTTTATCTAATACCTAAGCCAAAACTCTGGGAATATAACTTAACAAATACATGGCCTATTATACTCCTCAAATGCCTATGTAAAGCTCTCACAAAACTGATCAATGGTCGACTTTTGAAGGTCTTATCTACCAATAACATTCTCAAAGGAAATAACTTTGCTGGTCTGCCTTGCAGAAGCACCTTTTGAAC